CATAGATGCGGGCGGGTCAAAACCGAACCGCAAACCGCACAAAACCGATCCGCGAACACCCCTAGCTTCAGCCTCCGTTTGGGAAGTGGGTTGGCTTTTTGGTTTTTTTGACTATTTTAGCCTGGACTTAAAAGCTTGGTTTGAGAAGGACTTTTTGGCTTTTTTGAGTTTTTTTGTGAGAGAAGAATGTAATGATTATGGGTTGGATGTGATGTTTTGTTTGTTATGGCTAAAATAGTCTATTTTGTTTTTTATGGCTAAAATAGCCAAAAAAATCTGCAAACCCACTTGCCAAACACAGGCTCAATTTATTTAGATTGTTTCAGACAACAAAATTGATTTTCGATTTCTTGAATTCAAAATGTTATGCTTATTTTGTTGTTAACAATGAGTCATCAAAGGCACATGTGAGACTTGCTTGATTGAAGCAATTGGATTCTGACACTTGCGTAGTCAATATTTGGGGTTATTCATGTTGTCTAATTTTTTGAGAATAAATTGAATTCATCCCACTGATTCCAAGCACAGAAAAAAATAAATAAATAAAAAATAAGCATGCTTGGTTTCAGTTTTCTGAATTTAATTTTTTAAAAATTGAATTTTTTATTTTTTATTTTTTTTTTTATTTTTAGTGAATATTTTTTAAATTTTAAGTTATTTATTTGTTTATTTTAAGATGCACGTTACTTAGATGTATCTAAATAGTAAAATATTTGTGAAAAAATATTTTAAGAAATTAATAAATATACAAAAATATGAAAAATGTACTGAATTTTTATTTATTTATTTATTATTTTTTGGTATTTAGTGTATTTTTTAAAGTTTTTTTTTTCACAAATGTTACACTTTTTAAGTGTATTTATGTTAGGTGTGTCTAAAAATTTTTTTAAAAAATTACTTAAAATATTAAAAAAATTTATTGAAAACATTAAAATATAGAAAATAAAAAAATAGAATTTTTTCAAAATTATTTTCTGAAAATCAGAACCAAACAAAGTAATTTCACTGAAAAACAACATCTCTTAAGTGTTGGCTCATAGATGTTTTATTTCATTTTTCGTAATGTTTAGCTATATTAGATATCTAGTTTTTTAGGATCCTACGTAGGGTTTGGATTCTCTCAAGTATCTCATTTAATTTGAGAGTAGTTAGGCTGGCCTTTTTTTAGAGTCATTTTGATGATTCGAATTATTTATTTTTTTAAATCGTTAAAATTAAAATGATCGGATATTATTAATAACATGATTAAATTATATTTGTATTATAAAAAATGGATAGTTTATTTTTAAAATGGTGAATTACACTAACGATCCCTATAGTTTGGACATTGTGTTACTTTAGTCTTTGATTTTTCAATTGTGACACATTTGATTCCGAATTTTAAATCTTGTTCCAAATATGGACAATTGAAGATATCATTACTCAATTTTAAGAGCAAAATTATGATTTTGACAAAATACAAACTAATTTGACAAAAATAAATATCAAAAAAATATTTTTAAATTTTAAAAATTATTTATATTCACTAAAGATAAATTATGTAAAATTGATAAATCTTTTAAAAATTTATTTATTATTTTTTTACCAAATTAATTTTTATTATGTGTTTAGATAATGATAATGTAATGGGTGATTGTTTTTATTTTCATTAATTAGTTTCTATTTTTTTAAAAGCCAAATATGACGACAACTTTGATATCATTATTAAATCAATCCATTAAATTAAAAAACCCAAAACTAAAAATTATTCATATATTAAATATATCGATTACACATTAAAAGCTTAATTACCAACCATTACATACTCATCATCTAAACATATAATAAAAATTAATTTGGTAAAAAAATAATTAAATAGATGTCTAAAAAATTTATCAATTTTACATAATTTTATCTTTGGTGAGTAAAAATAATTTTTAAAAATTCAAAATATTTTTTGACATTTTTTTTTTTGTTTTAGAGAGTTATTTTTTGACGTTTGATATGTGATTTCAGTTGTTTTTAGTTAAAATCAGTTGTTTTACTTTGTATTTATGATATGTGTTATCTCAACTTAACTACTCATAAATTATTTAGAATTATCATCTTATAACTTAGATTTATTCTATAGATAGATCTCATACAATACAAATTGAATTTTCACCACACAATCACTCATCCAGAACAATATGGAGGTATGGCCATGCTTGTTTGGTTCTATAGGATGAAAGGAATTGAGAGTACGGTGGGATTGAGTGAGAAGATTATTTGTGTGATGGTATTAGGTTGGAAATGTATAATAAAGAGTGTTTATTTAAAATTATCATCTTATAACTTAGATTTATTCTACATATAGATCTCATACAACGCAAATTGAATTTTCACCACACAATCACCTAAAAGTCTGTTTCCAGACTTATTGTATCAATAATGGTACAGTGATCGTCATTTTATATTATATTTGATTTATCATGTAATTCCACACCATTTTGTCAAACACAGACATTAGTGGTAATCTAGTGATGAGAATTCATATGATAGACTAAGCGCGACATAGAAATATAATTATTGTAACATTATTAAATAAATATTTGCACAAATAAACTTATAATGTATTGCTAGACTGAGTGACTTGGTTGTAAATAGTTGGTTCTTTTGAAGGTTGTAACTCATGTTATGTTTTGTTTTTTGTTTTTTCACGATTACAAAAATAATAATAGTGTTATTTGGCAACAAGAGCATTGTGCTTGTTATATCCCTTTAAAAAATATAGTGTAAAATACAAATATACCTCTCTTGAGGTTTTTTAAAATACAAATTTCCTTATATAATTTTGAAAATTATATTCTGCCTCTTCAAAATTTTAATCTCATAACAAATGATCACTTTTATTAATAAATCATTAAATTAATTAACAGTTTTTAATGATGTCAAATATATATTTGAGTTAATAATTTTGATTAATTTATTATTGCATAAAAGAGTAGTTAAGGATTTTATTTTTTCTATTAATTTTGTTAAATAAATTTTTTTGATAAGGGATACTTGTAATTTTTAGAATCATATTAGGTAATTCGTATTTTAAACAAACTTCAAAGGTGTATTTGTAATTTATCTAAAAATATATCACTGTTCTCATATAATATGTAGTAGTGATATTTTTATAATTAAATATTATTTTAATATATATATATTTTATTTTAAAATTATAAGTTTTAATACTCTATCTATTTTTGTGGGGGTATGTTGATGGTGCACTAGGATAACAAAGCAAGTAGGTCATATTAGGTGGATGAGACAGTCACAAAATAATTGCAATAAAAATATAAAAGAAATTTTGTGTAACTTTAACACAAAGGAAGAATTACACCAAACACATAAATAAACTTTCACAATGTACATAGTAGAATTGCATCATCATTGAAATGCCGTTTTGCTTATTTATCTAGGGACATGTCATGTAGACTGGATTAATAATTTAATATAAAAACATAATTCGTGTTTGATTAAGAGAATTGTAATTGAGATTAATAGTCTATCCGGATACCCAGATACGATATTCTCATATGGAGACAATTGAGTCCTAAAAGGAGGGGATGAAATAAAAAATAACAAATTAAGAAGAGATTAAAATTAATTCTTTAAATTATAAAATTATTAAGATTTTATTAAGGAAAAATTAGTGAAATATCGCTCTCCAACTTTGTGTAGTAAAAGAGGTTCAAAATATATTTTTTCATTAGCTAAAGTTTCTCGATGAAATTTCTCTGTGATCATGTCAAAGAAATTTTAAAATTTTTCAGTGAAAATTGAAATTTCTCTGTGTCAGGGTCAAAATTTCTTTAAATCGGGTGAAATTTCTCTAAGTGAGCGAAATTTCTTTGAGTTGAATTTTCTCTATGAAAATGTTGAGGGACTTTAACCACTATGAAAATATTATATGTTATTTATCTTGTAAAATCTTAATATTATATATCTTAAAAAAAATTCTCTTTTTATTAATCACTCTTCCTAATCCTAAGTTAATTCAAATATTGAATAAGATATACAATATAACAATATCTATAAAAAAAAAGAAGAAGATATACAATATAAAATAGGGAGACTTATCTGTAGATCCTAATAGATAGACTTATTGTCCAATAGATCCTATGATAAGTAATGGCAATTTTCATCAAACATTATTAAAAAAGTCACTAATTATTAATTTTTAGCGACAGTTTAAAAATTGTTATAAAAAATGTCTCTAATTATAAGTTAGCAACAATTTTAAAAAAAAAATGTCACTAATTTTTAACTTTCAGCAACAGTTTGAAAAATTCGTCATAAAAAAATCACTAATTGTAAGTTTTAGTTACAATTTATAAAAAACATGACAAAAAAAGTCACTAATTGTCAATTTTTACCAATGTATGTAAAAAATAGTAACAATTATTTTTAGTGACAATTTTACTAAGACTTGATGGAAATTAAGTCCAACTATTAGAACCTATTGGTAATTTATCCTATAAAATAAGTTGAATGGGATTCGAACCTACGAGCCCAATATGAAATGGAATATTTATAGTTTTAAATTAAAATCAAATTTTATATTTTAAAGATTTATCAAAATCAAACTTTATATTTTACAAATTTAGTAAGACAACACACCCACCAGTATATATAGTGTATGTTTGGGATGTGGGTTAGTTTTTTGGCTTTTTGACTTTTTTAACTTAGGGCTAAAAAGTCTCGTTTGTGATAAATTTTTTTGGCTTTTTTTAACTTTTGTAAGAGAAAAATAAAATGATTATGAGTTGGATGTGACATTTTGTCATATTTATTTAAAATAACTTATTTTGTTCTATATGATTATTTTAGTCCAAACCCTCATCCCAAATGGGCCATAGTCAAAACCCTAACTCTTCAACAATTTTAGGGAAGAAAAAGTGGTGAGGAAACCTTCCTGAATAAATTGTTATCGAAATTCTCTCAAGGTTACCCCTCAAATCTCTTGTCAAATTCACGCATGTTTCCAAGCAATGGCGTTCTTTGATTCAATCAGGTTCTGTGAAAAGCGTTCAACGAAACAAAGTTCTAATTTGTGGAAGGTTTTATCTTCACACCATTGACAAAGCTTGTCTGGTGAAAAGTGTTCTTGAACCTGTTGAAAAAATCCGATCTCATTATTACATTGAAATCTTGGGTTCATGTAATGGGTTATTGCTTATTCAGTTGTTGCTTAATCGGATTATCGATGATTTGTTCTTGTGCAATCCGCTCACCGAGTGTTTGAGGAAAGTCCTCTCATATCATTGGTTGCGGGATAGTGGCTACGGTGTTGTTTCTGGGTTTTGCTTTGACTCCTCGAATAATGAGTACAAGGTTGTAATGGCGCTTTCTCATGAGACTCCAAGTTACGATGGATTGGTTGTAATTGGTAGTTTTCGAAGCAAAACTTGGACAATTGTTCACTTCCCATACTGTGTTTCTAGTGTGAAATCGGGTCCTGTTGTGAATGAAAATCTACATTGGTTTGCTTCTAAAGAAAGTTGGGGTCACTTCTTTGCACCCCATCAAATCATTTACTTCAATCCATGGAAGAATATGTTCAAGAAGTTACCAAGGCCACAACCTAAGGATAGAGATGGAGATATTCTACTCAGTTTAGAGATTTTAGAAGGATGTCTTTGTATGGTTCGCTCTTGCGAGCACCCAACCGATCATGTGGATAGAGTTGAGGTGTTGGTGATAAAGAAATATGGTATCCAAGGATCTTGGACTACCATGTTCATTCTATCGAATTTGCCTAACTTGCATATTTATGATAATGTCGTACCATTGTGTTTTACAAAGAATGGTGAGATTCTAATGAAAATTGGCAAGAACCATGTAAGAGCATATAATCCTAACGACAACTCGCAAAGGGATATTAGGATTCCAACCGAGTCACTATTTCTATCACTACAACAAAACTGGATTTTTACGGCTTTACATTAATGACATACAGTAAATGTAAGCTGTGATTTCTCACTTTTACGACCTACTTTTTTTGCATGTCACGAATAATTTCTCAACCACGACGTGTCTATTGCGTAGGTCGTGAATGCTAATAACGATGATTTTTTTACAGCTTGTAATCAGGGACGGATGTAGGATTCTAATATTGGGGAGGCGAGTGTATATGCAATCAAAAAATTTGTAATGAGCCCGTGATATACAATATCAATTTCTACCCAAATATCACAAAAATATATAATTAGATGTTTCCATTTATCACATATAATTATAAAATATTATCAAAATACAATTGGATATGTTCTAATAAATCCATATTAATTTTCAAAAAAGCAACTATTTGCTTTACATATCTACTTAGGCATCTAAAGTTGTGCTCGACGTTCTTTCATTATATAAAAAGCATCTATGTTGGAATCTACATCAAAATCTCGAGCAATGTCTTTGTCAACATATGTTAACAAGTAACTTGAAAGAAAATCATCCTCCATTCTGTTATGCAATCTAGTCTTTATAATTTTCATGGCTAAAAATACACATTCTATTGTCGCCGTAGTAACTAAAGAAAATACACCATTGACCACGAATATTTTGTATGTTCTGCGAGTTCTTATCCAGCTTTTATATCATTTACACAGAGAGAGAGAGTAAAGTGGAGAAGCGGGCTTAAAGTGGAGAAGGGGGCTTAAACAATTAGGTTAATAAGAATTTAGGGACATTTTCAAGCGTGGGGCAAGTTACACGTTAGTATTTTTATTTTTTTTATCTAGTTATAACCAAACAATTAAAAAATTTGGGCCCTAATCAAACAAAAAAGACTCTAACATATTAACAAATAAATTCTCAATTATTTTAACATCACTAAATTTAAAATAAAAAGTAATTATACTTAAAAAAATTATTATTATTATTATTTTTAGTATTTATCAAAAAATAATTAAAATTTTAAATTTTAAAGTAGAAAATTTAGGGGATAGCGGTTCTTAAATTTTTTGCAAAAACTTTGGAGTGACGAACCTATATAATTTAAAAATATTTGCAATTTTAATACTATATCTAGGGGTTTTTTTTAAAACTTGGGGGGGGGTCGCCCCTGCCAGCCCCCCCTCGGTCCATCCCTGCTTGTAATGTTAACTGTAAATAATAAAACTTTCTATGACATACATATGGCATGCCGTTAATACGTCAATTATACACGACATGCGTACAACAACTGTTAAAAATATTGAACATTTCATAGTGTATAAAAAGCCAGTTGTTAAAAATTACACTTTCCACGATGCATAAAAAACCGGTTGTTTAAAATATTGCACTTTCCACGACACACAATTTATGTCGTGAATGGTATGACCGAAAAATAAAAAACACCAAATGAAATACGATGTGGCGTCAATGACCAAAAATACATTCAACTTGCTTGTTTTCTCTTTTCAGAAAACATTTTTCAGAAAATTCTACTTTCTTATTTTCCGTATTTTTTTGTTTTTACTGAATTTTTTTAATATTTTAAGCAATTTTTTTACTTTTTAGACACACCTAACATAAATACACTTAAAAAGTAAAAAAATTGTAAAAAAAATCTTTTAAAAATTCACTAAATACAAAAAATACAAACAAAAAATATAAGAATTCAGTATATTTTTTGTATTTTTATGTATTATTAATTTTTTAAAATATTTTTTTACAAATTTTTTACTTTTTAGATACATCTAACTAAGGTGCATATAAAAAAGTAAAAAAAAATATTTAAAATTTAAAAAATATTCAATAAAAATAAAAGAATACAAAAACTAAAAAATTTAATTTTTAAAAAATTTAATACAGAAAACTCAAGCCAAACACACTAATTAGAATTTTTTTTATCAAAATATATGCGAACTGTTTGGCTTCTATTTGGGTTCTAAAATGAAGATACAAAGTTATAAATCGGATAACCTAGAAGAGAGAGAGAAGAAAGAGGGTTTGAAGGAGAGACTGGTGTTCAGCGACGCGAGATTTCGAAAGGGAACGCTCGATGGTGGCAGCGATTGACAGTTCGGCGAGACTGGTTCGACGGCAGCAACGCTTGACGGTTCGAGACTAGTTCGACGGCTCAACGATTCGGCGGCGAGACTGGTTCTTCTCTTCTCTTCAATCTGGAAAAAATCTCAGCTATGTTCAGATTTTCCTCTCTTTTTCTCTCCCACACACATTCACTCCGTTTAAGATTAAGACTCTATTCGTTCGCGTTCTTGCTTTCTGGTACTTCAAATACTAAGCTCTCATCATTTTGTAATTCCTAGATCGAACTCTTTCTCTATTTCTTCAACCTTGTTCCTTCATAGCTCCTTCAAGCTCGAATCAGTACTTTTCTAGGGTTTTCAAAACCCTTTTTACCTTTAATGAGTTGCATCTGTTTCAACTTGTGCCTTTTGATTTCTTGGCTTTTTTTTCGTTGCTAATGTGCCTGTTTTGTTGTGCTTCGTTCTAGTCTTCTCTGCCTTCTTTTCACATTTTTCTCTTGTCAAGCTCTCTTTGGTTCTCAATTTCTAGCCGTTAGAAGCAACCATATATATATATATATATATATATATATAAAGTTAGGTTTTGCTTTAAAAGATATCAGTTATTTTAGCTCTGTTTCAGCTTTATTTTCATATCCATTTTTCTCTTTGAGTTGGGTTTCATGGCAAAATCAAGCAATGACTTTATTCTGTTGTTCTGTATTTTGGGGACTATTGTGTTTTGTTTCTTAGTTTGTTAGACCTTTTTATTTAATTTTATTTTTTATTTTATAGATACAGCTTGTATTCGAGGTTAGAAAATGTATAATCTTTGATGGAAGATTGAGAAAACTGATTAATGTTTGTTTCCAGCTAGAGATTAGAAATGAAGTTGTTTAGTCTGTTACTAGTAATTGTGATGCTTCTATTTCCTATTTCTGTGAGATCTTTGAATCCATCTCTAAACGATGATGTTCTAGCTTGATAGTCTTCAAAGCTGACCTTCAAGATCCCAATGGAAAATTGGTTTCTTGGAATGTAGATGATGACAGTCCTTGTAATTGGGTTGCAGTTTTGGTTTTACAGGACGAATAGGTCGAGGCCTACGAGTCAAGAGCCTCTCCTTGCAAGCTTGTGCTTGCGTCCGTCCTTGCAAGCCTTCGGGTCTACTTTTAGGCCTAATTTTGATAATCCGAACCGTTTATATTTTATGATTTATTCAGTATATCATACCTGTAAAAAATCAAGTTGATCGGATATCAGAAAGTATGTGTTTGAAAAATTGAATTAAACACTATTTTTTAAAGAATTTAATAAACAGTTTTCCGAACATATGCTTTCTGATATCCGATCAACTTGATTTTTTACAGGTATGATATACTGAATAAATCATAAAATATGAACGGTTCAGATTATCAAAATTGGACCTAAAAGTAGACCCGAAGGCCTGCAAGGACGGACGCAAGTACGGAAGCTGCAAGGAGAGGATCCTCACTCCGAGGCCTACTCCAATTGCAGTATCTCCAGAAAAAGAAGTCGAAGAGTTTTTTTTATATTGATACTCAAAAAGAAAATAAAATAGCTAAAGAAGGTGAATAGTATTTCCCAATTGAAATTAACAAAGTCTTTATGATAAGTGATATCATACTATAAAACAAAAGTGAGCATAGCTAGATTTTAGTCCATTTTATTAATGTATTTGAAAGAAAAGAATATTATGGTTAGAAACTAGAAGCCACTCATCAAAACAAAGAGCAATATAAGGGCACATTTCTAATACTTTACTCTTATTACTTTACTCATCAAAACAAAGAATATTTTTAATACTTTACTTATTACTTTAAGTGCACATTTCTTTCTCATCCTCATTCTTGTGAATTTTTTTGCTTTTATGTTTTTAATATTTTCAAAAATAGACTCATTCTTTGTTTGTAATTTGCATATATCTACAACGAAGGAATTGAAGGTCCTGGTTCTATAAATCTATAGGCCTTGATAGTACATCAAAACCCTTGGTATGTCTTCTTTGTGTGGTGTCATTGGTGCTGCTAAATTTTTTTACATTTTTCTTTTTCATTTACTTTTGCCTTTCTTTTTCCTTGGTTGCTTTAAATTCAGAACCTCACATTAGCTCAAAAAGCGAAATTGTATGTGAGGCTTACTCGTTGTTTAACTTTTTTGGGAGTCTATTTTATGTTCCGACGTAGCTGCCCATAGAAAGGCAAAGCAAGGTACATCATGTTTTTGTTTTTTAGTTTTTTGAACGCAAGGTATATCATGTTTGTTATGCTTATTTTAGGTTTTTCAATTTGCTTTTATGAGAGGAAAGAGGAAATATCAATGTAAAGGATTGATTCCAAATCATTGTAAAAGACCAAATGTTTGTTCTTCTGATATACAATGACACCTTTTATTTAGTGATAATAATGATGGCTATGAATATCGATGACACCTTCTATTGAGTAATAATAATAATGGGCAATGCATTTTGTTGATTCAATTGGTTAACCAATTGAATATTGACCTCAACTTTGCATTCACAACTGTCATGGGCGATGCATTTTGTTGATTCATGGGCATGTGTTATCGTGCGAAGCACGATTCTTTGTCACTAGTTTATACATACATGTGATGCTTTTGCTTCTTTCAAGCTTTTGTAATACGTTGTTTTGTCTTGATATATAGCTAGCTTTTAGATAGAAGGATATTTCACAAAGTTTTAAAAACATTAATTAAAACTCACTTAAAACTGGTAGGAGCCAAGCAAAGGTGCAAGGGGCAAGAAGCATTCTCATGGAGAAATCCAGGTAAACTTGCACATTTTTTATATTTTTTTTTTCAAGCTTCTGTCAATTTTACATATGGAGCCCATATCCATGCTTATGGTCTCTAATTAATATATTCTCTTTATGTTGATGTTGTTTCAAGTTTGGTTGCTCTAAGAAACGAAGTTTTTGAAGACGAAATCCAAGTTGCTAGGAATTTTCTAACACAAAGATATGGAGGGCACAAGTCGAGTGTTGATGCAATTAAATCAGCCCATGATGGTACACTCACAAGAAGATAATTCGGATAAATTTTGTATGGTTTAGAACTTATGGATAGTTTTTTTTTTTGGATGATTTAGAACGTTTTGGACGGTTTTGAACTTGAATATAGTTTTTGATGTCTAGAAACATAGTGTTAGGATGGTTTGGAATGTATAGTTAGTTTTTGAATATTCAGAACTTATAGACAATTTATTTTTTATTTTTATTTTTATTTTTATGTTTGAAATAATATTTTGGTGGTTAATTGATGCTTATATATATGTTTGTGAAGTTTGTTTGTAATGTTTTCTTAGATTGTACAAAATAGGTAAAATAGAATCTGCTGAATTATATATATATATATGTACTATGGTATGCGAAAAATGTTGAGAAACATGGGTTATTTACGGCAGGCAAAATATGCCGTTGTATTAAATATTTAACAACTGGTAATGAACATCGTGGTTTGTCCTTTGAATTAACAATATGCAAAAGTAGTTGTAGAAAAATAAAAAATGACGCACAAGATTTGTTGTTAAAGGGTTTTAACAGCGTACTACGGTATGCCGTTGAAAGTGAATGACTTTCCATAACTGGTCATAATATGGCGTTATCTTGCACGTCATATAATTGTATCAACGATGTGCATTTGGCGCCGTAATTTTTTTTTTTGTTATAGTGTATGCAGCTGTGTATAAGGAAAGTTTTGCTTCACCTATTGATTACAATTGGGATGCGGAAGAGTTGAGAGGAGATGCAAGATATGTGGAAAATTCCCTTTCAGGCTCTTGGCGAAAAATGAGAAAGGTAATAAGGACGGGTGTTTCGGCATACGAGGTTGAAGGGAGAGGATATAGAGAGTCAGACTTGAAATATATGATGGATAACTATAGGAGGAGGAGAAATTGACTAACTTCATTTTTGTAGTTCTTATTTAAAAAAAATTTCTAATCTTTGACTACATTTTTATTATTTCAAATTTATTTTGATTTCCTTTATTTTTGTGATTCATAACTTTAAATTGGGAGCTTTTTTGGTAAATTCATTTTCTAAGAGTTTTATTTCATCCAACCCATATTCTTTTTGACTATTCTATTAGGTCCAATTTGAGATAAGAAGACCAAAATACTCTTTTCATCTACTTATGTTCCATTTAGTTCACATTATTTTCTTATATTTCAATAAGTCCTATGGGTGACATAATTACCAAAATACTCCTAATGTGAATGTTCACACTGTCAATGTGAATGTTCATATCGTCAATATGTAGGGGCCCGGTCCATGTCGATCCTCGTGGGTGTCCGGAAAAATTCGAGTCGGGCCGGGCCAGCCCGGCCCACAGGCCAAAAAAATAGGCCTGGCCCGGCCTGTTGATAATGTGAATATTCACATTAACAAGTTAACATTCACATTGATAGAAGTATAAAATTGGCCCGCGGTCCGTGGGCGGCCCAAAGCCAGCCCGCTGCCCGGGCCGAGCCCGGGCCGGCCCGTTCATAATGTGAATATTCACATTGACAAATTAACATTAACATTGATAAGAATGTAAAATTAGCTCGTGACTCGTGGGCAGCCCGAAGCCCGAGCCCGGCCCGTTGACAATGTGAATATTCACATTGACATGTTAACATTCACATTGATAGGAGTGTAAAAGTAGCCCGCGGCCTGTGGCCGGCCCGAAACCCGCCTGCGGCTCGTGGTCTGCCTTGGGCGGGCCCGGCCCGACCCGTTGATAATGTGAATATTCACATTGACATGTTAACATTCATATTGATAAGAGTATAAAATTAGCCCGTCGGCCCGTGGGCTAGCCCGAAAACCAGCCCAGCGCAGTGGGCGGCGCCAGGGCGGGCCCGGCCCGGCCTGTTGACAATGTGAATATTCACATTGACATGTTAACATTCACATTGAATAACAGGTGTAAAATTGAACTCGTGTCCCATGGACGCCCGAAGCCCATGGGTGGCCCGGGGCGAACCCGGCCCAGCCCGGCCTTGACAATTGTGAATATTCACATTGACATATAAACATTCACCATTATAGGAGTGTAAAATTGGCCCGCAGCCCGTGGGCGGCCCGAAGCCAGATCGCAGCCCGAGGCGGGCTTGGCCCGACCCGTGACAATGTGAATATTCACATTGACATGTTAACATTCACATTGATAAGAGTGTAAAATTGACTCGCGTCCCATGGGCGGCCCGGGTTTGGGTCCGGGCTTACCTCGGGCCGCGGGTGAGCTTCGGGCAGCGGACAAATTTTACACTCCTATCAATGTTAATGTTAACATGTCAATGTTAATATTCACATTGTCACGGGTCGGGCCAAGCCCGCCTCGGGCTGCGATCTGGCTTCGGGCCGCCCACGGGCTGCGGGCTAATTTTACACTTCTATCAATGTGAATGTTAACATGTCAATGTGAATATTCACATTGCCAACGGGCCGCGGGCCCGGCCCGAGATCGGGCTTCGGGCTGCCACGGGTCACGGGCCAATTTTACACTCTTGTAAATGTTACTGTTAACATGTTAATGTGAATATTTACATTGTCAACAGGCCGGGCCGTGGGCGGGTTTCAGGCAGCCACGAGGCGCGGGCTAATTTTACACTCCTATCAATGTGAATGTTAACATGTCAATGTGAATATTCATATTGTCACGGGTCGGGCCAAGCCCGCTTCGGGCTTTAGTAGGGCTTTGGGCCGCCCACGGGCTGCGGGCCAATTTTACACTCTTATCAATGTGAATGTTAACATGTCAATGTGAATATTCACATTGTCAACGGGCCGGGACGGGCCGGGCCACAGGCGGGCTTTTGGCCGCCCATGGGCCACAGGCCAATTTTATACTCTTATCAATGTGAATGTTAACATGTCAATGTGAATATTCACATTGTCAACGGGCCGGACCGGGTCCGTCCCGGGCCGCCCATGGGCGGTGGGCGGGTTTCGCGCCACCACGGAACGGGGGCCAATTTTACACTTCTATTAATGTGAATGTTAACATGTCAATGTGAATATTCACATTGTCAACGGGCCTGGCTGGGTCGGGCCCGCCCTAGGCTGCTGGCCAATTTTATACTCTTATCAATGTGATTGTTAACATGTCAATGTGAATATTCACATTGTCAACAGGCCGGGCCAGGCACGCCCTGAGCTGCCCACGGGCCGTGGGCAGGTTTCGGGCAACCACAAGGCGCGGGCTAATTTTACACTCCTATCAATGTGAATGTTAACATGTCAATGTGAATATTCACATTGTCAACGGGCTGGGCCGGGCCCTCCCCGGACCGCGGACGGGCTTTTGGCCGCCCATGGGCCGCGGGCCAATTTTATACTCTTATCAATGTGAATGTTAATATGTCAATGTGAATATTCACATTGTCAATAGGCCGGACCGGGCCCGCCCCGGGCCGCCCATGGGCCGCGAGCGGGTTTCACGCTGCCACGGGACGCAGGCCAATTTTACACTCCTATTAATGTGAATGTTAATATGTCAATGTGAATATTCACATTGTCAACGGGTCGGGCCCGCCCCGGCTCGCGGGCGGATTTCGGGCTGTCCACGGGCCAATTTTACATTCCTACCAATGTGAATTTTAAAATATGAATGTTCACATCATTAAATTGCTAATCGTTCAAAAAATATTTATAAAGGTATCAAAATTTAATATAAGGGCATAAGTGTCTAAGAAAATAGTGTAAATCAAGAAAATGGACTTTATGGAATAAAACTATACATACATGGGACTAAATGGGTTAAAAAATTCCTTCATGGACTTATTAGGTTAAAACACTTCTAAATTGGACTTATCAATAAAAATCCCATTTAAATTTGTTGATCATAAAGTAGGCAGGATAGCTGGTTCATTAGATCATGTTAGTGAGCCAAGAAAAGTAGATGGTGCATGGAGGATAACAATAAGATCATATTTGTTTGGTGGATTAGAGATTAAGGAAATAAAAGCATAAGTAATACCACTTCTAACATATTGTGGGGGCCGAATATTGGAAGTCGTAGAGATTCTGGAGAATCGAACATTGAAGAATCAAGATTCTAAACGTTCGGCCTCTGCCACGGAAACTTGGACCCAACCTTATTCAGCTAGATAGTCGATTAAGCAAGGGGCCGAGTGAAGATCGATTTATTACAAAATATGCCGAATAGGTACTGAGCTGTGGAGCCGGGTAAATATGAACATAATGCCCCAAGGCCTAGAGAACGAGTATAAATAAAGGAATAGTAGACTGAGAAAGGTATGTGATAATTGTGGTGTTTAACTTAGAATACAAGTAATTTAGAATGAGAGACTGACTTGTCCGTCAGAGTACTAATTCCGGGCACCCTCGGCCGGAGTGTTTACTTCCTTTCAGGTGCCTATCGGTGGATCACGAGCGTTCCCCAAGATTAGAAGAGTATTTCCAAAAACCATATCCCCACACATATATTTATTTTCAGTACCATAAAATTGTTAAATGAGATTATATATGCCATGTGATTGTTTGATTAGACTTAGATAAAATTCTGAAAGAGTATTTATGACATTTAAATAGTGAAGGAAAGATAATTTGGAAAGGGAACTAATTGTCCCAAGGGAGTGATGGGACTCTCATAGAGCCAAACAAACACTGAATTTGCAAATTCATCTATTACTTGATACATATACATATATATATATATATATATATATATTCCGGATAAGAATTTATATGAATTTTTTATTGATAAATCACATTTAGAGGTGTTCTAACCCAATAAATTCATCGAGAAAAATTATAACCTAATTAATCTCATGTATTTATACTTTTATTCCATGAGGTCATTTTTTCCTGATTTATATTATTTGTTGGAATATTATACCCTTATGTTTATTGTTGATGTGTATTACATAGAAAAATGATATATACATTTTTTTCTTGGTTACCTCTACTTTGGTAGTTACTATTATTCACGTTTTTCTTTTTGATCAGTTTCATTCACATTTGTGGTGTTGTTTCATTGTGTTAGGATTTCGAAACTCACTATTTGGTAGGGTTTACAAACTCTAATTTACACATAGTGGTGAAATAAAATTATATTCCTCCACTGTTACAGTGAAGCTTTGTGTTCCTCCATTGTCACTTTGTGTTTGAAATTCTGTGTTCGTCCATTGTTGCTCTGTGTTCGAAACTCTATGTTTCTCCATTGTTGTAAGTTAAAGTTCTGTTTATATCCACTCAATTTTG